ACTCCTAATCCTGCTCTCTTTATAATCTATGCAAAGGTGTTTGCAAATTTCTAAGTACTGTGTATACATGTCAGCTACTGTTCTGTTCACAGACTCAATCAAGAAACACTTATTAATTGCCTACTGCATACTAGGCATTCCGCTAGGGATTGAGGATACAAACACAAAGAATGCACCAATCCTACTCTCCAGAGAGAGAATTCTCAGAGTTGTAAGGACACAGTGGCTGCCATGAGTACTTGAACGAGAATCCCTGCTACACATTCCCGACAAGTAGCCAGGCTGACCAGATCTGAAGACCTCTGGTGAGGGGGAACCTCTTGGGGCACCTAGAACATAGAATGTTAAAGCTGGGAGGACCTGGTCCATTCCAACCTCGAGCCTAAAATGTCTATGCTGGAGGTGCTCACTTCTCTCCCAAATTTCTCATGACATTTTGCTCGTCCCCTACTGCCTTCTCACAGTCTGCTTTGTATGTTAGGCCTTTGTGTCTTTTCTCCCAGACTCAGCCTTGAACTCTTCAGAGCAGCGACTGCGTCTTATTCATCATTATCTCTGCTCTTCCACTCTGATCCACCTAGCAGTGTCTACACGTCCCCTCCTAAGATCTATGATTGTTTATACAAGGGGGAAACCCATTACCTTAGACTTTCACATATAATTGGTGGACTGGATCCTAGTGGCTTCTCAAAACAGTTTTTATGAGGAAAGGGATGGTCCCCCTGAGTTCTGCCATTTCGTGTTTAGAGGTTTCAGCTAATGGACTCCATATCTATTAAGTGCTTACTGTGTGCCATGCACTGTGTTAAGCTCTGGGATACAAGTAGAAACAAAAAAGAAGTACTTACATTCTGATTCTAGAAGCTTACATTGTAATGGAAAAAGACAATGCATAAAAGGAAGTGAAAGGGTAGGTGAGGGCAGGGGGTTCCATTTTGGACTATGGTGGAGAAAGACTCAGGAATGGAGCCTGGAGAGGAATGAGTGTGGACATAACTAGCCTGGACACATCTTTGAAAAGTAGGCTTCTGCGGTGTGTGATTGTGATGGGATATTACTGTGCTATAAGAAAGGACGAGCAGGATGATTTCAAAAAACCTGGAAAGACTTAACCGAACTGATGCATAGTGAAGTGAATAGAACCAGGAGCACGTTGTACCCAGAAACAGCAATAGTATTCAATGAAGAACTGCGAATGACTTAGCTATTCTCAGCGATACAATGATCCAAGACAATCCCAAAGGGCTAATGATGAAGCATACACATTATCCGCCTCCAGAGAAAGAACTGATATTGATTGAATACAGACTGAAGCAGGCTATTTTTCACTTTCTTTCATTTTTTTTGAGTCTTCTTGTACAAAATGACTAATATGGAAATGTTTTACATAATTGTACATGTATAACCTTTACCTGATTGCTTATTGTCTCAGGGAGGAGAAAAGGGAAAGAGGGATACAATTTGGAACTCAAAACCTTAAATAAAAATGTTAATTTTTTTTAATTAAGTAAAATGCAAAAGAAAAAAAAAAGAAAAGAAAAAGGGACTTCCCAGAAGAACTGAACGGCAGAGGGAGGGATTTCATAGGGCAAGGAGGCTGCCGGGATATGGTGGGGAAGACGTTTTGCAGGGTGAGCTACAGCTGGAGAGATTAGATATAGTCACATAAACCAATATTAATAATGATTAAAATATGCAGTGCTACTTCAGTGTCAAAATAGATTTCATTCTTTTGTCTACTGTATTTTCTCAAAGTTTTAAGAAACAAAAGCAACTCATAGTGACCAGATTGCCCCTGTTGGAGGGGAAACTTAGACCCTGAAAGAGCAGCGAGGAGCCAGAACAGGTGTGGGAAGAGGTGGAAGAAAGGGCAAAGTATTGGCACATTAGAATAGGAAAGTCAGGAAATCGTCACTGTTTGCTCCCAATACTGCCCTAGGGAAATCCCAAGTCTCAGGTAATGTAAACTCTTAGACTTGGATGGGAGTTTAGAAGTCATTGGCCCAACCCTGACCTGAAGCATGAACTGCTCAGCTCTTCCTGAAAGTCTACAGCGACAGGAAACTGATTCTCCAATAATGTAGCCCATCCAATCAAAGAGTAACTCTAATAATTCAGAGTCTTCATTACCTGGCTCAAAACCCTTGTCTTTCTACAGGCCACCCATTGTTTTTAGTTCACTTCTCTGGGGTCAAGTAAAATTGGTTTAATCCTCCTTTCACTTAACAGATTGTTTTCAAATATTTGCAGAGGGTGGTTATTGAACAACTACTCCCAATCTCAGCCAAGTATCCTCTGCTTCAAATATCCACAGCATCTTCATTCAACATTGGGGTACAATGAGCAGGTAGGCTTAGACTGATTCTAGGGCAGCAGGTTAGCACCAGTTTGAGGATGATTGTTGGTGAATGAGAATTGATGCATTGAAATGATATGGAGAAATCAGGCTGGGGATGCTAAGGGAAGGGTTAGGTCAATCTTCTCAGAAGGGCTCTGGGATAGGGGTCACTTTCTGAGTAGGTTGGAAGGTACATCTCCCACCTAGTCTAAAAGTGGTCTGTCCCCACCCCCACCCCCCATCCATCCCTTCAATGAACTCCAGTAATTACAGCCTCTACTTTGGAGGTTAAGTGGGTCTATGTGAGTTGAATGAAATCTCTTTGTGGTTATATTTGCATACATTATACAGCTCCACCTCAGGCTGGCTCCTCATCTCATCAGTGTTTTCTGGATAGCAGGAGTTTGTCCATAAACATCGGAAAATATTCATAGTCTATGGTTAATTAGACTGTGAGATTCATCAGCTGGAAACTCTGAGGTGCTTCTGTGTAATCAAATTCTTAGCTCCCAGGCTCTTTTCTCCAGAAATGCTGTATTGTGACCAATCCATTTGGCAGAGACAAAGCTTGGTCATGTTCTAAGTTCATTATCATTGCCTGGGATCCTTTTTTCTCTGTCCTCCCCAGACATTTTGCTCTGATTTTGTCTCGGGTACACATCTCAGATTGAGACAAAACCATTCAGTTTTTCACAGGCCACTGACCTGCCAGTGATTCCATGAATATACAATGGGAACAAAACTGCATTTAGAGTTAGTGGACCTGGGTTCAAATCTTGCTTCTCCCACTTGCTACCTCTGTGACCATGAGAAACCAGTTATTCACAGAATTACAGATTTTAAGAGTTATAATAGACCTCTCTGGTCCAACCCATGCCAGAAAGGAATCCCTACTATATCGTGCCCAATAAGTGATTACTCACCCTCACCCCCGGGACTCGGTTTCTCATTTATAAAATGAGATAGTTGGATTAGCTGACTTTTAAGGTCATGATAGAATGGAAGGAGAGTGATGGGGAGGGACTGTCCCCTCCCCTAGCACAATGCATAGTAGATACTTAATGCTCATTGATTGATTGATCCTAGCCCTCAAACTCTGATGCCAGGAACACAAGTTCACCTTTGCCCCCAAGGACCTCTCCTGACACAGGTAGAGGATGTGGTAGATGTTTCCCTGGACTACCAGCACAGGCTAATCCCACCTTCAATCACTATAGAAGTCACTGGCCTGGAGCAAAATATACATTCAGTTCACGTCATCGGAAAAGGAGGGGCAGTAACCACTGGGTGACTGGTCTTGGCAAGCGCTTTGTATGACCAGACTAGAATACTGTCAGTATGATGACATGATGGGCAGATGTGATAACCACCAACGGGTGGAAGCCATCTGCTGGTTCTTATGAACTGCTCATAGGGGAATGAAGGAAATTGGGAGTCTCTGTGTACACTAGTCTCACGCATGCAGGCCTCTGCCAAGCACTTTACAGCTTCTCCTGTATGAGCCCCCTTCTCTCTACTCACCCAGCCACTCTTCATTCCCATTTGCCTAGATTAATGCAGTAGCCTTCTCACGGGTCTCCCAGCCTCAGGTTCAATTCAATTCAATTTAATAAACATTTATTAAGCACCAACTATGTGCCAAGCATTGTGCTAAGTGCTAGGCCTACCCTCAAGTGGCTTATAGTCTAATGGAGGAGACGACATGCGAACAAATATATACAAAAAGAACTGTATACAGGATAAACAGAAAATAATTAAAAGAGGGAAAGCATTGGAATTAAGAAGGGTCAGGTCTCATTAAACTCTAATCCATCCTATACAGGAGGCCTTTCCCAAGCTCTCAGTTCTACAGTAGGTAGCTTGTTTATACATATCTGATTTCTTGTTTTCTCTCACGTTAGACTGGGAGCTCCTTGAGGGCAAGGACTGCCTTTTGCCCCTTAGCACAGTGCTAGCACTTAGTAGGTGCTTCATAAATGTTTATTGACTCACTGATCTACATGCTATTCCTCACACATGACACTCCATCTGTGGGCACTGTGCCTTTGCATTGGCTGTACCCCGTACCTAGAATGTTCTCCCTCTTCTCACCTCTCTCTATTAGCTTCCCTGACTTCCTTCATGACTCAGCTGAAATCCTACCTTCTGCAGGAGGCCTTCCTGGTTTCCCCACTTCCACCAGAGACTTACCCTTGAAATTACCCTTGAGATCTCTTCTAGATACAGTTATTTGCCTTTTGTCTCTTCCATTAGAAAGTAAGCTCCCTGAGGACAGGGCCAGTATTTTTGTTGTCCTTTCACTACCCAATGCTTAGCATGGTACCTCACAAATAGCAAAGATTTAAATTTTTGTTTATCAGTTTGTTGACTGACTGCAGTAATAATTGATTACTACCACTACTACTACTACTACTACTACTACTACTACTACTACTACTGCTACTATTGCTACTACTACTACTATTACTATACCCAGCCACCCACCTCCCACTTTTAGGCTGTGGGGATGGTCTACCTGCCAATTAAAACCTGGTGTTCAGGGAAGCTAAAGAAATGGGCCCCATTCTGATAATGTCTGATGATACTTAGATGCCCAAGTCAGTGACAATGGAGACATCTCCTCAGACCACAAGTGACTCAATTTCTCTGTTTTGTTTTTCAGTTTTGATGTGGAAAATGGCCCGTCCCCTGGTCGAAGCCCCCTGGATCCACAGGCCAGCTCCTCCTCGGGGCTGGTGTTACATACCACCTTCCCAGGGCACAGCCAGCGTCGAGAATCATTCCTCTACAGGTCAGACAGTGACTATGACCTCTCACCAAAGGCCATGTCTAGGAATTCTTCCCTTCCAAGCGAACAGTAAGTATGAGCTGCTGGCTTCCCGTCTCACACCTACTTCATTTACTGACACTGTTTAAAACCAAACAGACACACACAAAACCCTAAAGGACTTCTCCTTCCCTTTTCACCTGAGACCAACGAAGCATGAAAATGAAAAGAGGAAAATGCTGTGAATATTTTCAGGCCCTCAGGAACATTGCTGAGCATTGGGAACACAAGATGTGTCCTCAAAGGCCTTAACAATATGGCATGCTTAGGGTGTGGGTAGGAATTAGGGTAATGAGTACTTTCAGCTTTATTCCCTGAACTGTTTAGACAACAGGGGTCTTAAGATACTTTTAAATGCTCTTAAATCACATTTGGATTTTCTGCTTATTAAGAGTCCTGGCAAGAGGGGAGAGCAGCTAATCAGGCACCTGGGTTTTCCTTCTGGCAAATCCTCATGGTGGAGTTGGAACAGGGAAGGGAGGAGAAACAGAACTGTCTCCTTCTCTTGAACCTACCAGTAATGCCCATTTGTTAAGATACTTGCTTGATGAAACTCCACTTGTGGAGTTCTATTAATTAGCTGTAGTCAAGTGTTTCCATTTTCCTTTCATTAATTAGGGGTCTGTGATTTTCATTTAAAGATCAACCACTGGGTTGTGTTTCTGGTTTAATCTAATTTCAAAACCCAAATAACATTTTATACTGTAGTCCGTGAGTTAAAAGCTTTCTGGGCACACATATAAAGTTTTTGGTTGCATGGTTTAAAAACATTGCATGTATAAAAACATCAGTGACTAACTTTAATCCCAAAGAGGAAAAATTCTGAGTCTTCTTTGGTTCCTAGAAGGGATTCACAAAATGGATAGGAATGCCAAAGGCAAAGGCAGAGAAGATCATGAGATACAATGGAAAGAATTCTGGTTTCAAATCTCAGTCTTGCCAATACCAGCATGACCTTGGTCAAGACATACCTTGTCAAGACATGTCCCTGTTTCTCCATGTTGTCTTCAAATGAAGGGCACCAAACCTGGAACTCAGGAAGAACTGGGGTCAAATCCTGATTCAGACACTTGCTGGTTGTGTGACTTAATCTCTCTGTGCCTCAGTTTCCTCATCTGTAAAATAAGGTGGTTGGTCTTAATGCTCTCTAACATGTACTCTAGCTCTAAATCCATGATCCAATCATAAGTGGTTGGACTTTTGATGACCTCAAAGATCTCTTTCCAGTTCTAGATCTGTGAGCCTGTGAGGATATCCCCAAAGGTTTCTGTAGGAATCATCAACAGGCACACCTCAGTTTCCCTGAACAATTGTGAATGACCATTGAAGTCTGTACTCTCTCCTTTGACAATCTTGTTCACTCACATGGCTATGTCTACACCAACAACTCCCACATGTAGTTTTCCCATGCTGAGTTACAATCCCAGACTATTTATAGGACATCTCTCCCTTGAACAATGTATCACCTCAGTTTAGGACATCCTAAAATAATAACTCCCTCCCTCCCCAACACACACACACACACCTGCTTCTCCATCTGATTTTACTATTTCTATGGGTAATCCCACCATTTACATAATGTCCTGGGTTCATAAGCTTTCATTATTTTTGTCAATTCTCTCATCCTCACATCCACTGGACGTGTTACTTCTCGTGGCCAAGTGGTCAGCAGGTATCCATGGATCTCATCTCTGAAAGAGCCCTCATAGGACAATCTCCTGAATACACATTGTTATTACCATCTGCCTGGATTATTTCAGTGCCCTCCTTACAGATCTTCCCGCTACTACTCTCACTTTGCCCCAATCCCTTTTTCATATCCCTGCCAGAATAATAAATTATTATTATGTATAGAAACGTTTTGCTCAGAAATCTTAAGTGGCCCCCTTTGCCTTCCATGAAAATTCAAACTCCTTTATGCAAAGCTTTCCACAATCTGGCATCTGTCTTTCTGGCAAAATACATAACAAATGTGTCTGTGTATATGTCTACACACATACACACATGCACGCACATGCACACACATATACACACATGCACATGCACTGTCCCCAAAGTCTCAGTGTAGTTTTAAGCTAGTAAAGATATGTCTATTAATATGTACATATGCATGTGTGTATATATTGCTAGCTTTAATAGCTCAAAACTGTACTATTATAGATATGTGTATATATACATGTATATGTGTATATATTGTGTATATGTAAAAAAAGCTTCCATAATATACATATTCACATATAGATTTGTATGTGTGTGTATTATAGATGGTTTTTTAAACTACTATTATTTGCTAGTGATTCCATCTCCAGGAGAACCCTTCCTAGAAATAAACAAGCATACTTAAACAACAATAACAACTACAACAAAAAAAATATTGGCCACATCTGAAAACCCATTTCATTTCTTACCCCGTTATTCCACCACTCCTGCCCTGAGAGGAAGAAAGGCGGCTTGGCCAGCGGTCCTGGGGAAGCCGTGCTGACATCCTCTTCTGCTCCCAGCATCATCGCCTGCTGCAGATTCCTTCCTTTCCTTTCCCCTTCATTAGCACTCTTGCCCCTTTACAAGGACAGGCAATAGAATGAATCAGGTGACTACATCATTATTCTGTTCCCCACACCCGAGTTCAGTTATTCATTCATTCATTCCTTCATTGATTCATTCAGTCATCAAGAAGTCATTTGTACCTGCTGTGGATCCCACATATCTTAATGGCTGTGGGAGATAAATACAAGACATGATATTTGACAGCCGGGACTCCTGGGTTTGAATCTGTTCTATGACAAATAGTATCTGTGTGACCAGAAACAAGTGACTTCTTTTCCTCCTCTGAATAATGGGGATAATAATCTTGTTGCCACTACTTTAAGGGCCCAAGATGAGGAAAACCTCCTTCAAACCTGTCATCTACTTTGTGTCTATTTTGAATTTCTTTTGTGCATCGAGAACCGTAGGTTTGAATCAGGAGTGGACACTAGAGGCTACGTTTGCCCTCATTTACAGATAACAACAATGATAATGGATAGAAGTGATACAATACTCTCAGGTTTGCAAGGCCTTTTCTTACTTTATCCTCACAACAGCCCTGGAAGATAGGTGCTATTATGATCCCCATTTTACACAACTAAAAACTGAGGCTGAGAGTGACAAGGGACTTTCCCAGGGTCCCACAACTAGTGTCTGAGGCCAAATTTGAACTCTAGCCTTCCTGGCACCCAATCCAACATTCTATGCCATGTACCCCCTACCTTCCAGATAAGGAAACTGAAGCGTATAGTGATTATATGACTTTCCCAGGTTCATACAGCTGAGTAGCTGAAGCAGGCTTTGAACCCAGTTTTTCCTGACTCCAAATTCAGCATTTTATCCACTGCATCATAATTTGTGGTTTCCTTCCAATGGAATGTAAGGTCCTCGAAGGCAAAGACCCTTTCGTGTTTTCATTGTTGTTCGTCCTTCATTTTCTAAGAGGACCAGTGGTATCAGAGGGTGATGTCTTGATTTGTGCGTGAATTGGATTTAAGTGAGGCAGAGCTGAGGAAAGTTGTCGGCCTCTGTATCCCTAGTACCAAGCACAATGCCTGGCACATAGTAGGAACTTAACCAAAAGGCATTTCAAAGACCAAAGCCCACGTTTCCAACTGTACTCAGAAACTGACATTTGTATAGAACTTTTAAAATGTGACAAAGCATGTGACCAGAATCTTCTCATTTGAGCGCCATGACAGCTCTGTGCAGAAGGCATCCCAGGGATTCCCATTTTACAGATGAAGAAACTAAAACCCAGAAAGAAGTGACTTGTCCAAAGGACACAGAGCTAGTAAGTGTCAAAGGTGGGATTTGAACCCAGCTCTGTCTGCTTTCTCTCTCATTGGCTAGCTGCTTTCCCATGTGGCCTCATTCACGTAAGCTATGTAGCCCATACCAAGAATCTTCTGTAGTTATTATTTCTGCTAACCCTCTGTCCATCTGAGAAGAGGTCCAGAGGCAGGATCTATTCTTATCCCATCCCTGTAAGCAGAGACTTGGATTGGAACAGCTCCAGTGCTGACGGGAGCTGAGAGACCCAGGTGGGACCGGCTTACGGGGCTCTGGGCTCGGAGCCCATGAGCCTGACTTCAAACTCCCACTCTTCCACTCACTTTCTGGGTGCCTCTTTGTGCCTCGATTTCCTCCTGTATAAAATGAGAGGATTGGACTCACTCATTCCAAAAGCCCCAACTTTATCTACCCTCCTATGAACAGAATCTGCAGACATCTTGAAGCCAGACAGGTTTCTGAGCATCTTAGTTGAGGCTACACCATGGACAGAAGAGGAAAAAGAAGAATTAGTGATGAATGAAATCTTGACAACGATAATGGTGATGTTTAATTTAGATCCATCTTTTAGCCAACAGATGGCTCTGTATGTTTGCAGTATTCTGGTTCAATTCAATTAAATGGCTCAATAAGCATTTATTAAGTGACCACTGTGTGCAAAGACGAGAAGAACATCCTGGTCCTTGAGGACTTTGCATTCTACTATAGGATGCAAGTTACGCACAGAGATATAAATACAGTCCTTTGAGAAAGGAGAGCGCTAAACACTAAGGGATATCAGGATACTATAGAAAGCTGTATCTGAACAGAGTCTTAAAAAAAAAAAGCTAAGTAACCCAGGGAATAGGGTGAGGGAAGAAGTGAATTCCAGGCATGGGGAGCGAGCAGCCTGTCCAAAGACCCAGAGAAGGGAGATTGGGTAGTCCACGTTGGCTGGGCCACCAGATGGCGCTCATGTACTGCTCCGGCAGGTTTCCAGCCACGTTATTCCAGCCACTTCAGAAGTGGTTTGCAGGAGAATGACTAGACATGGGTCATTTTAAAATAAACTGATTAAACTTCATGTTTTTATATTTAATCCATAATAAACTTAACACTTAATTTTATATTTAAATACAATTGTATATTTAACCCATGATAAACAGTTATGACATTTGCATTCAGAGTGAAACTTCTCAAGATAATACCTTAACAAAGCACTTTTCAGTTTATAAGTAGCTTTCATATCTGCTACCTGATGTGAACCCATATCATCTAACCAACAAGCAATTATCAAGCGCCTACTATGTGTCAGAAATGTAAAGATGAAGCAGTTCCTGCCCTCAGTGAGCTTCCATTCTGTGGGCAGATGCGACATGTTCACTGATAAGTAAATAGAAACTACACAAAATAAATAGGCGGTGATTGGATGGGGGAACTAAGCATAGCATTTGCACTGTGCTCTAAGGTTTGCAAAGTGCTTTGCAAATATGATCTCATTGGATCTTCACAACAAACTTGAGAGAAAGGTGCAGGAGGAAACTGAGGCAGGCAGAGGCTAAGTGACTTGCCCAGGGTCCCCCCAGTTAGTCAGTGTCTGAGGCAGGATTTGAGCTCAGGTCTTCCTGACTCCAGATCTAGAACTTTATCCACTGCATCTCTTAGCTACTGACTGGAGCTCATCCTTACAGAATTAGGGTTTGTTCACCAAATTAGGCTATGCTACTTCAGCAGAGAGAGCTAGGGGGTGCCATGGTGTCTGCAGTGGGGGACTAGAGCCAGGAAGACTTATCTTCTTGAGTTCAAATCTGCCCTCAGACACTTGCTAGCTGTGTGACCCTGGGCAAGTCACTTAATCTCTGCCTGCCTCAGTTTCCTCATCTGTAAAATGAACTGGAGAAGGAAATGGCAAAGCACTCCAGTATCTCTGCCAAGAAAACCCCAAATGGGGTCATAGAGAGTTGGACATGACTGAAATGAGCGAACAACACCTTAGCAGAGAGACAGAGGATAGGTAGCTAGCTCCCTGTAACCTTCTCAGATCTCACATTAGAGCCAGAACTGATCTGTAAATAGTGACCAGTGCTCAAGTGGTTTGCGGGGACCGTTCCCGTTTTCTGGACTTGTGTTCTTGCCTTGACCTTTGTAAGCCCTGATCAGCCTCATGAGACTCACCATAAGAACAATTATATGGATTTCACCTATGTCAGCCTGAGTGATATACTCCAAGTGTGTCCTTCCACAAAGACTTCAGCCAAAGCCACTGCTGGGGCCCCAGCCCATTTATCAACCTATTTACCAGTAGTGGGAATGAAACAGTCAGCCTCCTCAGCCCCAACGTCTCTGATGGTGCGTGGGCTTGGGGCTTGGATTTCTCTAAATCCATCTGCCGGAACCCTTTATATAAGGCATATATAAGGCATATCATTAGATTTTAAGCTCCTTGTGGGCAGGGATTGTCTTTTGCATATTTTTGTATCCCTAGAAATTAGCACAATGCCTGGCATGCACATAGTAGGTGCTTAATAAATGCTTATTGATTGATTGATGGACGGCACATGAGGGTAGTTGATATCATTTTAACAGAACCAGGTACACAGAGATGAAAGGCAGGTGTCAAAGATTTCAAAGACGGGTCCAACCTGTAGCTGAACAGAAATCTCCTCTATGATAGATAGCTGGCAAATGACCTGAGGCCTCCTTGAAGGAGATGCTTTTCCTTGTTGCAGACCATGCTCCTTGTCAGGGAGACTTCCCTTCCATCAGCTGGGAATCTGGCACTCATCTCTCCTCCTTATGCCCTCATATTGTCAAGCAGAACAAAGCTAAGCCCTTTTGGAAGGACACACATTCCTATCCTTAAAGATGGCGGCCTTTCCTTTTAGTGGGTTTTCTCTTCTCCAGGATAAATAGCCCTGGTATCTCTCATTCAGTGTGATGTCCAGAAGGTCCTATTGCCCTCCTCTGCTCACTCTCTCACCTAACGCACAGGCCTTCCCAAAAGACAGAGAGGGACAAGGAAGTCCCCAGGTACAGTCTAGCTGGGCCAGGGTGCAAGAGGACCACCAGCTTCCCAGTCCTGGGCACGATGCTTGTCTGGAAGCTGTTGAAGCTCCCATTTCATGCTGTGGATTCCTAAGGAGCTTGAGGTCCACTAAAATCCCCAGATCTTTTACAGGTTAACTGCTATCTAGCCTGCCTCCCCTGTCTTGTTTTTGGGAAGTTGATTTTCTGAATCCAGGCTTTACAGTTAGCCGTATTCACTTCCATCATTTTCAGTGAAATCTAATAGATCGAGGCCCAAAGAGGTTAATAATGACTTGCCCAAGTTCTCACAGGTAGGACATGTTATTGTTGGGATTTGAACTCAGGTCCTATGACAATAAACTCTTTCCACTCCAAATGAGCAAACTTGCCCCAACTGACAGAGGGAGTGAGAAGCACCGCCAGGAATAGAACCCAGCTCCAAGCCAGCGATCCTTCCATACTGGAAACGATCCAGATGACCTCTGAACTTCCTGTGCACACTTCCATTTCCAATGATTCCTTCTTCTTGCTGCTCGTTACACAGCACTTCACGTCTTTGCACAGGCTGCCCAAGGTGCCTTCAGTTCAGTGTCACCTCCTACATGAAGCCCTCTCTGACTCCTGCCCTACCATCTGCTAGTGCCTTCTCCTAATGACCAACTGCTGGGGGAGCCATAGTGCACAGAGCCCTGGGACTAGAGCCACAAAGACTCATCTCCCTGAGTTCAAATCCAGCTTCAGATACTTATTGAGTCACCTTGGGCAAGTCACTTATCTCTGCCTCAGTTTCCTCATCTGTACAATGAGCCAGAGAAAGAAATGGCAAACTACTCCAGTATCTTTGCCAAGAAAACCCTCAATGAGGTCATGGAGAGTCAGGACTGAAAATGAATCATCTATAACAACAACAACAGAAATTCCTAAGGGTCACCTTGTTTTTATTTTGTGTAGAGTTTTATATGTACATACTATATCTCTAATTGACTATAAGCTTCTTGAGGGCAGGGGCTGTTTCATTTATGTCTTTTTGTTCTTAACTCCTAGCAATGCTTAGCAAATGCTGGTTGATTGAATGATTTCATCCTTCCTCTTAGCATGAAGATCACAGGAAGAGAGTCATGTCCCGTACAACAACAAAAAAAAGAAAAATTCAAGACAAAAAAAACAAAGAAAGAAGAGTTTGCTTTAGAAGGACGGTGGGAGAATGAATTGTTCTGGAAGACAAAAGGGAAAAAAAGGGGAAAAAAGGGGGGGAGAGCCCTCCGTGATTGCCAGATTACCTTCATGATTCACATGGTTGCACGTTGTCTACAAATATTAGCCTGTTCTGTTCCTAGGCCATGCTCGGGCATGACTTCTAAAGACCTAAGTAGAAGTTTTGCTGGATAGTGACCTAAGAAGGCTTAAAAACAAGCATGTACCAATTAAGAAAAACACTTCTGAAAGTATCTAGGTCTATATTTGGCTCTTTCTAACTACATATTTGCAGAAAACCATTCTGAGCTTTTGTCTAAAAGACTCAAGGCATCAGGCAGGCTTCCACTGAGCACTTTTTAAAAGTCACATCAAAAACAAAAGTAATGGGATTCCCAGACATCAGGCGGGTGTTTAAGCAACCTTACACTGCAATTTGGTTCAGTAAAAGCCAGAAAACTCAGAGTTAACCTTTCCCCAGACTGTGAGGCCTTTTTTCCACAGCTGTACCCTGTATGCCCGAGAGAGAGACAGAGACAGAGACAGAAGAGAGAAAGAAGAGAGGCGAAGGTAGAGTTAATGAGTAAGAGGGAGAGGGAGGAAGGAAGAGAGAGAGACAGAGAGAGAGAGAGAGAGAGAGAGAAGGAGAAGGAGAAGAAAGAGGAGGAGGAGTCGGAGGAAGCATCTCTCCTTTTCAATTTTCTGGCTCCTGCCAACAAAATTCTCCAGTTGTATTGAATTTCAGGAGGCCAAGTTAGTTACTTCCTACGACCATGGGCCTGGTAGGTTTCCTGACAGGGAGAACGTATCTATCCATTGCCAACCCAGAGCAATGAAGCCGCCATGATTTCTATTTCTCTGGGGCTGAGATCCATATCTTTGCATTTATATTCACTACTGTTAATATGGTTCCCAAGAGGAGGGACTGTTGGTAGCGTTTATATTCTCCAGAGCTAAAACTAAACGTTTTTGTCCCTTGGGCAGGGGGCAGGGATTTATCTGGCATGTTGCTGATGCCCCCCACAATACCTCACAAGGTTTCTACTCAGCTGGAGGATTGGCCGCCACTGAGAAGCTAGGGAAGGGAGGGAGGAAGAAGCACACCCTGGAGCAGGGCTGTTGGTGGCCTCCCAAGTTTTGTACCCTGAGGCAAAGCCCTGGCTGCCCAGTCCGGGGTACAGTTCAGCTATCCCCCTGTACCATGCAGGGGTCCATGTGGTTACTGCCATGGAATTCTACCATTCAACATCATTTTAATGCCTTCTTTTTCTCTCTCCTTTCTCACTAGACATGGTGACGACCTGATCGTAACACCTTTCGCACAGGTGGGTATGAGACTCGATTCCTATGTTTCTGCACATCCTTTTTCCCTGTGTGCACCAGACCCTTCACATTATCACACTGTATTTTTAAATTTCTGACCCTTTCTAGGTCCTCGCCAGCCTGCGAAGCGTGAGAAATAACTTCACCCTCCTGACTAATCTTCACGGAGCAGCCAACAAGTAAGTCCGGTCAATTTTGTCAATTTAGACAAGGCCTTTCATGAAAAGAATAGCCCTTGGAGTCAAAGGACCTGGGTGTGAATCCTGGCTCTGATCTTCCTGGACATTCTGTCCTTACCTGCCTGGGACTATGTTTCCTCTTCTTTAAAATGAAGGGGGTGGCCTGGATGGCATTTACGATCACTTGTAGCTCTTAAGCTACAATCCTATTAACAGCTGAGATAATAATTGTAAAGTGCTTAGCATGTGCCTGGCACATAGTAGGGGCTTAATAAAAGTGTGTTTCCTCATGGCCCTTTGACCTGCATTTGAGTCTTAGTTTTGTTATTTATTTCCTGTGTAGTCTGGAGTAACTTGCATCATTTCTTCAAGCCTCAGTTTCCGCCTTTGCAAGATAAGGAATTTGGATTAAGATATTCTGTCTCTGAATCCACAATTCTGAGCATCATATTCAGGTTGGAACACATCATCAAGTCCAACCCTGCTCATTTTTCAAGAAAGGAAACTGAGGCTGGGGAAAGTGACCTAGGTCATACAAGCAGTAAGAGTCAGAGGCAAGATCTGAACCCAAGTCCTTTGACTCCGTACCAAGCGCTCTTTCCTCTGTAACACACTTGGAGTCATGTGAATTGCCCAACCTCACACACAGAACAACTGACAAAAGAGGGATTGCGCAGTTGGAGGATGCCATAGCGCACAGAGCACGAGGCCTGGAGTCTGGAAGACTTATCTTCCTGAGTTCAAATCCAGCCTCAGACACTTACTACTTGTATGACCCTGGGCAAGTCACTTAACCCTATCTGCCTCAGTTTCCTCATCTGTAAAATGAGCTGGAGAGGGAAATGGCAAACCACTCCAGTATCTCTGCCAAGAAAACCCCAAATGGGGTCATGGAGAGTCATACATAACTAAAGGACAAAAGAGGGATTTAAACCCAGGTCCTCCAACTCCAAAGCCAGTGCGCTTTCCTCTACCTTCCCAAGTATTTATTAAACACTGACAGGCACTGCAGAAAACAACAGAATAGTCCCCACCCTCAGGATCTTTACATTCTATCAGAATTATAAATTCTCATATGACTTACCATTGGAAGCAGCCATGATTGAGTGCCCACGGTCACACAGCTAGTAAGTATCTGAGGCTGGATTTGAACTCAGGACTTCCAGACTCTATGCACAATGGCACCCTCTAAGCGGTCCCTTTCTAATTCAGCTTTCATCTTAAAAACAGGTAGGTGCTTAATAAATGCTTGTTTAGTTGGATTGAATCAAATTCCACAAAATGGATCAAATGGAGATTTTATTGGAAATAAGAATAAATTCCGAGGAACCGTGTACCTTTTTTTTTTTGAACCGTCTACTTCTGAAGGAAGGCACAAAGTCACCTTTCTTCCCCAACTCTACCCACTGTAGGAAATCAGGCCACCCAGAGAGTGAAAAATCCCCATGTTCTTTCTTGGTTCCCTTCCAGAGAAATATGTCCAGGTGCAGGCCTTCTTCAGTCTTTTTTTTTCTTTTGGGTTTCAAGTTCAAATACTCTGTTTTTTAAAGACCCTGGGGGCAATGGAAGAAAGGCAGGGAGAGGGGGTTCTAAAGACAGAGTGGGCACCCCTGGCCTGTTCAGTTCAATTGCCCCCCCTCCCCCCAGCTTCATTGCACCATAGAGACCAGGTGTGGATGCCTCATTGCGCTTGGAAAGAGGCCTAAAAAATGGAAGACAAGGCTGGTAGCAAGAACTTCTTGTACCCTGACCTCTGCCCACCATCACTTACGATGTGGGAGAAGGGGGCAGAATAATGCAAAATGATTTAATGTGGTTGTATGGAGATGCTTTTAATATAAAGGTATATAAACCTTCTGAAACAAATACTCTTAAATTGATGGGATCATAGATTCAAAGCTGGAAAGGGTCATAGAGGTCAACTAGGCCACCCCCCAATGCCAGCTCCCCAGTAAAGACAGAAACTGAGGCCCAGGGAAATCTAGTAATTTACCCAAGGTCACCCAGCTAACTAGTGGCAAAGCTGGATTTTAACCCAGGTGCCTTCTTTTACCCTTCCACACTGTCTACTTGTGATGGCCAACCTGCCTCTCATTATTTCACTACTTGTCTGCAAAATTGGGGGGTTGGCCAGGGTAGCCCCATGAGGCCCCTTCCACCTTGGGATTCATGGTGACATCAATCAGTCAATTAACAAGCATTTCTACACGCCAGGCTCTGTGTGGTTGAAAAACAATGCTTATCAATCTTAAAGCAACATCACTAGGTAAGCTTGCACTACGCCTATTGTTGTTGATGATAATAAAATAATAGCCACTATTCCTACAGCACTTAAAGCTCTTTCTATACTTAGTTGACCTCATATGAGCCCCACAGCATTTCTGTGAGGAACTATCAATATCACAATCCCCATATTGTAGATGGGGAAACTGAGTCTATTTGTTTTTTTTTGTTTGTTTTTTTTTTTTTAGGCAATTGGGGTTAAGTGATTTTGCCTAGGGTCACACAGCTAGTGAGTGTCAAATGTTTGGTCTGAGTCTGGATTTGACCTCAGGTCCTCCTGACTTCAGGACCGGTGCTCTATCAACTGCGACACCTAGCTACCCCAGGAAACTGAGTCTAGAAAGGATAAATACAGTCTGTCAAAGCCTTAGCAAATAGTCATCAAATGAGTAGGCATGGGAGGTGGATTTAAAACTGGGTCTTCCCTGACCCCCAAGTCTATTTATCTTTCAATTACATTAATATTCCTAGTGATTAACAACTGCTATCATCCACAAGGCCAAATGGATAGAGGGCTGGCCTCAAGGTAAGGACAGCTATGTGACCCTAACAAGTCACTGACCTTTGGGGGCTCCAGACAACTAACCTAGGAGGAGGAGCTGCAAAATGGGGACGTTCTGTGACTGGTGGGGCTCCCCACACGCGGAGCCAGCTCCTGGTACTGATGAAAACATAGGTCCAGATGTAATGATAATCCCCGTCTCTGGAATGCTTTTAAGGGTTACAAAATTATTTTCTCACAGCAAAACTGGAAGGAAGGTAGTGTTATGATCCCCACTTTATAACAGAGGAAACGGAGCCCTATGACAACGAGTGACTCATTCAAGGTCACATATTTGAGGCGGGATTTGAACCCCAGTCTTCTGACATCAGAGCCAATACTTCTTTCCACATTACCATTTTTTCCATGAGTACCTGCCTAGTGAGTAACAAAGCCAGCCATAGATTTAAAAATTGGAAGGGACCTTGGAAATCAGACCAACCAACATCCTCATTTTACAGCTGGGTAAACTGAGGCAGGTAGGTTCAGGGACTTGCGCAAAGTCAGGTAGATCCCTTTGTCCAAAGGGACAAGCAGCAAGGAAGTCCTCCAACCCTATCACTCTTGCTGGAGTCCAAGCCTTGATTTTCTGCCTCCAGGTCTAGTCATCTTTCCAGTCTCCCTCCAGTGTTCCCTTGTGGGAACAATTATTTTTTCCTGATCCTGCTGTCATTGACGTCATCCTCATCTTCTTCATCATCACCTAACATCTGTCACTTCCCCCAGTTGCCATATGTAAATGACTTCCTGTCCGGAAGTTGAACACCTTGGGCAAACAAACTCCATTGACCAGGGTGGGTCACAAGAGTCCCATTATCCACTCATACCCAAGTCATAAAGTACAACCACCCTTATGCACCTCCTATGAGAATGGATCTCAGAACCCCTTAAAGAATACCCTTTTTGTTAGGCATGGCACTTCTCAGAATTTGGGGATTCAGAGAGGCCTCCACCCTAGTCTGAGTTAGATTTCTGCACCAGATGACTCTGGATTATTTGCAACGTTTTTTGCATTTTATTGACCTAGCTCTGAGGGCTTACTTTGCTTCATGACCTTGGGTGAGTTGCTCATCCTTTCTAGTCTCCATTTTCTTCATTTGTAAAATTAAAATAGCAAGATACAAACTGTTATAGGAAGGGGCACACTTTCACTTCCCTCAAAATACTAGCTGGAATCCACATTTTAAATGCTCCAAATCATAAAAATAACTCATGTTTGCAGAGCAATTTGTTACCTGTGTTTGACAGCTCTGTGAACAAGGTAATGCAAGTGTTTAGCACCATTTTACAGCTAAGGAAACTGAGGGACAGGGATATCATGTGACTTCCCCACCATTCCACAGGACTAATAAAAAGTAGGCCCAGGGTTCAAAACCACAGGTTTTTAATTCTCTAAGATGGTAAATTGCAGCACAGGTGCTGATCTATATCAGTGAAGTTTCCTGAATGGAAGCCCCCTGCACCAATAAAATCACATATGTAGCTAAAAAAAAAAGTGACATTATCATTGTGACCTCAAACATTAATGAAAATTAAGACTAAGACCAGGAGCCAGAAAATCTGACTGTAACAGTTTGTGAAACATACTAAGGATACAAATTGGACACTTTAGCACTTTGGTGATGCAAGCACAGGTTATTTGCATCTCTCTAATTTTTAATTCAAATATGCTTTGATTATTTCACACATACAATGATGATGATTAATGTCATGTTGGGAAGGAGTGAACACCTGGGAGTCAGGAGGCCCAGATCTGACACTTATTAGCTGTATGACCCAAGAAAATTCTTCTCCCCTCTGGGTATAATTTTCCCAGCCTATATGATGGGCAGATGGGATAGAATGACCTATTCTACCTGGTGTAGAAGAATGAATGCTAAGTTTGAAACTGCTTGTCTAGGGTTTGAATTCTGGCCTAGAAGGAGACTCGAGGAATGATCCTGGTCAGTCACTCCCCTTTACTGGGACTGTTTCCTCATCTGGAAAATAGGCCTCATATAGGAGAACCCTTGCATTTGTCACTCATTCATGGGGTTGTTTTGAGGGAAGTGCTTTGCAAATCTTGATATGGGTCAGAGGAACACAAAATCTTCCACTGAAAGGGATTCTTGGAGGCCAGGTGGTCCAACTGGCTCACAGATGAGGAAACTGAGGCCCAGAAAAGTCAAGTGATCTAGTTACACTTAAAGTTAGAAGAGACCTCAAACGCCATTTTGTCTAAACCCCTCATTTTTATAGATGAGGAAACTGAGGCCAGAGAGATAAAATGATTTAAATCTTAAGTTGGGAGGGACCTCAGAAACTATCTTGTTAACCCTTTACTTTGCAGAGGAGAAAACTGAATCCCAGAGAGGTCAAGTTACCCTGAAAGGTTTAGAGCTAGGTACCTCAGAGACCATATTGTTTAAAAAAAAAAAAAAAGCTTTCATTTTGCAGAAGAGGAAACTGAGGCTCATACAGGTTAAGTGACATGCTCAAGATCAGACAGAAGTGAGATCTGAACCCAGGACCCCTGACTCTCCAGTGCTTTTTCCATGTCACCTCACTGCTGCCCAGACAAGCAAGGTGCCTATAAGGTCTGACATTCTAGGATCTTACCGGAAGAGATGACGATGGAGATTTAATTCAACATAACAATTCCTGAGTAAGCGTGGAAATCTCCTGAGGCCTCTCCTTGGATAAGCAAAAGAACGAAAAAACAAGGGGTGACGGGGAAGCCAGGAACAAAGTTGGCTGGGGAGCTAGAGTAAATGACTTCCTTCCTGGAAAGTCTGAGGTTCCTTAAGTAGTTTATAGGGAAATTCCAGGGCACGGCGATAGTGAGAAAATTGCAGAAGGCCTTTGCCTCATATTACAATGGTTTGGCTTCTGACACTCACATTGTATCCAATCGAGCATATAAAATCAACTTAATGGTCATAGGAGAGTGAGCTAAATGAGGCTTCTCAGATGCCCCATGGCCCCCTTTTGAGCTATGTTGCCCTTATGGCTACAGATTAATAAATCTCTCTCTCTCTCTCTCCCCCATCTCCTTCTCCCTCTCTCTTCCCCCACAGGAGGTCTCCAGCTGCTACCCAGCCTCCTGTCTCCAGAGTTAATCTCCAAGGTAGGATACACTGCTCAGACTTGGTGGATAGTTTTATAAATATGGTCCCTTTATTCAGAATCTGTGTAAACACAAAACTTTTGTCTGCAAACCTGAATTTGTCACCCAAAGCGTGCCCCCTGTGGATCATTTCCAAAGGTAGAAGGTGTTTCCCCTTTATTTTTTTTCTTTGTAAAATCAAGTCGAAGGAGTCACAGGAGGGTTTGGCAATCCATGTGGGCTGACGTGTCAGAAATTGATGGATTTGCAATAAGAATTCCAAGAACAAGGGGGTGAGGCACAGCTGCGTTTATCTCAGACCCTGACCTCAGCCAGTTGGGCCCAAATGAAGTCCCAAGGAGCCTAGATCCATTGATCCCCGTCTGGCCTGTGGGGTCCCAGCTCCTTAGGTTCTGCCATGTCTGTTAGCTTCCTTCTGGCTGGACCCAACCCTCGGACTAGCAGCTGCCCCCAGATCTACCTCCTCTCCAGGTGTGAAGTCAAAGTCTCTCTCTGGGTGATAGATTATCTCTCCTGGAGAGAGTCCAATCTGTTCTGCAAAGGTCTTGCAAACAGCTGCCCTCTCCTCCTTCAGTGCATATGATCTACCATGGAGTGTCTTCTCTGAGCAAAATGGAACCAGTTGAACGTGAGCTCGTGGAGAGCAGGGCTTACTTTCATTTTTATCTTTGCATGTCTAATACCTAACACAATACGTGGCATACGGTAGGTGCTAAATAATGAACGGATTGCAATTGGTATCATTGGAAGGACTATAGATCTACTGGAGTATTAAAATGTAAATATAACATACCGTGCTAGTCACTGGGGATTCATTTGTTGGATTGTTTGATGTCTTTTATTGGATGGCAGGTTTTGGTCCCAAATTCCAAGACTGTCTTCTGGAGAATTCGTGATTTTGAGAGGAAACGTAGGAGACGTTGTAGGCTCATAGATTTAGAGTAAGAAGTGGCCTTAGGGGCCATCAAGTACAACTGTCTCATTTTACAGATGAGAAAACTGACCCCCCAGAAGGCACAGCAACAATAATATTAATAAAAGCATTTACGTAGTGCTTTAAGATTTACAAAGCACTTTACTAATGTCATCTCATTTAATCCTTATAGGGATCCAGGGAGGCAATTAAAAAATAAATAAATAATAAAATTAATTTTTTTCAAAAATTCCTAACACATAGGACTGACCATGTCCTCTGGGAGAGAGTCTTGTGGGATGATGGTGAGGAGATACGCTGAAGAAGTCAGGAAGGGCTGGAGGGAGTGAGGTAAACAATGGAGATGCTTATGTTGGGCTATATCATGTTGCTCATAAAGAATGTCATCAAAGGAGTATCTGATCAAAAAGTAAGATGGCCTGGGCATATGGCAAGAACAAAGATAACTGATGAACAGACAATATCTTTTTTTTTAATTACATTTAATTTTTTAAATTAACAGAAATTTATGTTACCAACCTTCTCTACCATTGAAAAGAAAAAAAACAAAAACAAAAGTCTCCGAGTCCAAAGATATTCGTCTCATTCTATAGCTTGAATCTATATCTTGAATCCCTCTGCCAGGAGGTGAGCAACAAGCTTGACCACCTGCCCCTTAAAGTCATGGCTGGTCACTGCATTTGTCAGAGTTCTTAGGCTTTTCGAAGTGATCTAGACAGGCCATGATTTTCTTTCATTGCTATCCTCTGAACATCCAGAAATCTCTGAGGAAGGCCCTCTGCACTTTGAGCAAAGCCGCTATGGAGAACTTATGAAGAGACCACATGTGCAAGAATGAAAAATGGTTGGGTTGAAATGTGTAACAATAGAGGGAGTAGATACATCAGAGACATCAGAGATGAATTTGTAGTTGTACAAGGAATTGTGCTGGGCACTGGGGATACAAAATGGGGATGAAAAGAAACAGATCCTGCCCTCAAGGGACTGGTAGAGAAGGCAAAATGTTGCCCAACTTTTAATAGCTCAATAAAATGACAGTGTGTGTGTGTGTGTGTGTGTGTCTCTGTGTGTGTGTAATAAGAGAAGGAGGGAAGGTAGAGGGGAGAGACAGACAAAGACAGAGACGGAAAGAAGGACAGAGACAAAGAGAGGAGATAGAGGAGAGAAATAGAGGGAGAGAGACAGAGGGATGGAGAGGAGAGAAAGACAGAGAGAAGAAGAAAGGAAACAAAGAAAAGAAAGAGAGGAGAAAAGAGAAAGACAGAGAGGGGGCAGAAATGAGGAGTGGGAGAGAAAGGGGATGGAGGGAGGGGCAGAAAGAGGAGAGGAAAGTGATTACCTATTGAGCTGTCTGATATGAAATCAAAGGAACTGAAAAGTTCTTTATCTGAACACTTCAAAAGCCTAGGGGAATTCAAAGTGTTATTTTCTTCAGAGGCTCCATCCAGAGAATCTCTAGAGTTTTTTTTTTTCAAAATAACTGGTGCTATAGACTTAAAGATCAAAGAAAAGACTATGGAAACCACTGGCATGTCATGATGTTGGCAGGGCAGCGAGACGTTGGCACTCTGATTTGGGTCCGTTGGATTCATCAAGGTGGTTCTGACGTCAATTAGACGATCTCAACTATGTTTTCATGGTTTTGTCATTAATACTGACACACAGTCAGGAGAAATACAAAATGTATGGCTATAAACAACCCATCTTGGAGTCAACGCTCTTTGGGAAAATGTTTCTGCAATTCTTGGCACAGTAAATGCGACTTGGCAACTGGCAAGCCTAGTGGTGATGTCTGCAAGGCAGGGTGGTAAAGCAGCTATAATACCAATTAGGAGGTTTAGCAAGAAAATTTTTAAAAAGGAACTGGCCTTTTTGTGGCGATACCAATTATTACGTAATTATAGGTTTCAGAATCTCCTTCATGTTTAACCACAGGCAGGGGAGGAAGGAGGAGAAATACATCCTGTGTTTTGTTCTTATTATCAGCTTATATGCACCAGGCAGATTTTTCCTGTCCTTTCAATATCTATCAGCCTCTGACAAAGAAGCATTGAAAAGCAAACTTTAAAGGGGGATGCAAGGGTGTTTCAGATGGCTTTGGAGCATTCTTTTAGGGATTGTGAGTTAGGCTGTGATTTGAAAAGGAGTCTTCTTAGGTCACAGAGATTGGGCTTTTCTCAGAGGGTTTTTTGCGTTTTAAATGCCCCTATTGAAAGATCTTAATTTCTTTTCGAAGTTCTTTCTCTGTCCCTGGAATGAGTTCCTTGGGATTCTGTAATACTTCCTTCACATACAGGAAGCAGGACAGGAAGAAATGCAGAAATCAAGACAATTGGTTCAACCCCTTCCTTATTTTGATCATAAGACACCACCTAAGAGACATAATTGAGTGATGTGGTCAACTGATCAATACACAGATATGGACCAAGAGGCGTGAAATCCTCATAGAAGAAGCATTTAATGCATCAGGGAAGCAAAGATCACAGATGCAAGCCTGGAAGAGATCTGTGGCCATCTGGTCCAAACCCCCCATTTTACAGTTGAGGAAACTGAGCCACAGGGAGGGTAAATGAGTCCCTTACAAAATCACAGTTAGTCAATGATATCCAGGTAGGATTTGACCCCAGGTCCTTGGGCTCAAGAGTCTCTGCTCCTTTGGATTATGCTTTATCCGTGAGTCCTTTGAAAAGTTAGTTGTCGGAAGTGAGGACTCAGTTGGCACGTTTACCTTTTCCCATTGATCATTAACATAGAGTGGTGGAAAGGGCATTGGGTTTAGGGTCATTGGACCTGGCTCTGATACTCACTGGGTCAAACTGAACCGGGTTTGGGAAATCAGGAAAAAGTGGCTTGGCTGGAATGCGGCGGGCACGGACTGAGGTTTGGAAGGGAGCTTAGGGGTGAACTGCTCCAAGCCCCTTGTGTTACAGAGGAAGAAGCAAAGATGAACTGATCTCCCCAAAGTCTGAAACAGTGAGTCAGAGCAGATACTGCCCATCCATCTGCCTCTCTACCTGCAGCACTTTGTCCAAGTAGTTTCCCCTCTCGCAAGCTCAGTTGTGGACTAAATGGCTAGACTAAGTGAAGGCTAAGTGTCCCTTCTAAATACCACACTGCTGGGAAATAATTGACTAGAGACCCTGTGAGAAGCTAGAGATTCACGTCTTGACGCTGGAAGAGAGATTAGAACTAGAGATATTGAGATATAGAGCTGGGGAGTCATCTGCCTGTAGGTGGGAGTTGAAGTCATGGGAGCAAATGATAGATATCATCAAAGGATAGAGGGTAGAGAGAGGAAAAAAGTGGGGGGCAATGACATAACTTCAGGAAAAACCCACATTAAGGGGTTAGGAAGAGGATGAGGAGCCAGGGAGGGAACAAAGAATGGACAGTTAAAGGGGTGGGAGCAGAACCGGGAGAGGGGGATGATTCTGGAACTAAGGAGGATGAGTGTACAGGAAGAGGAACTGGCCAGCAGTGCTGAAAGCTGCAGGGATTGACGGGACCAAGCAAGAAAAGAAAATGGAGGTGGTGATTAGGAGGCATGCAGGTGGGAGGCAGTCAGCCAATAAAAGCTTATGAAGCTTCTACTGTATGTCCAGCATAAGTACCTGGAATATTAATAAAAGCAAAGACAATCACTGCTCACAAGCAATCTGTTAGGCAGACAACATGCAAGCAACTATGTGCAAAGAAATTATGTAGAGGATGTTAACCTCAAGGTCAGGATGGTCTAGAGAGGAAAGAATACATGGGATAAATTTGAAATCATCAACACAGCCAAGGCACCTTCTTGTAAAGGATGGGATTTTAGTTAGAACTTGAAGGAAGCCCAGAGGCAGAGATGAGGAGGGAAAGCATTGCAGGCATGGGGAACAGCCAGAGAAAATTCCCTGAGACTTGTTTGAGGAACAGCCAAGAGACCAGAGTAACTGGATGGAAGAGTAAATGGTGGGGAGCAAGGTTTAAGATAACTGGAAAGGGAGGAAGGTCTTTGAAAGCCAAACCAAGGATGTTGTATTTGATCCTGGAGGCAATAGGGAGCTACCGGGCCCTACGGAGGATC